GGATGGACAGTTGTTAATAAACACTTGTATCTTCTGGATGGTGGCTTTCATAGTTTCCCAGGTTTCCGCCCCATGTAGTAGAACTATCTTGGTATTTGTATTGAAAATTCTGGCCTTGGTGTTAGTTGACAGACATTTTTGAGTTCCAGATGTTTTTCAGTTGTAAATATGTTGCTCTTACTCGGCCGATCCGCGCCTTCACATCTTGCATTAGATCCACCATGTTCATCAATGTTGCTGCCCAGATATGTAAAGGTTTTTACATCTTCCATATCTTCTCCGTCAATTGTGATTAGATTGTTGCATGTTGTGTTGTATTGTATTCGAGAATCTTGTTTTTCCCTTTGTGTATGTTGAGACCATAGTTCACATTAAATTTCCTAAATTGGTTTTTCACTATAGTTGGTTTTTATTATGACATCTATCTCACATTATTATAAAAATATGTAATATACATTATAATATACATTTAACTGTTATTTTACATCTGTCTGTAGATAATGGAGATCTATACTTAGTATTTTATGAACATAAAATATGTTTTATATATCCCATATTTGTTGTTAGTTATAGAGTCGATTCGTAAACTGTTCGATGGATATGATGTGTGAAATAAATTCACATCTTGAAGTGTACATGTTGAACATTTGTTATTTTTAAAAATTTGAAATGTATAAACGTTTATAAGCAAAGATGGATAGTGGTTAGTAGTGGAATTTAGTTTGACGCGCATTTCGTCCTATTTTGGACTCATCAGCCGATGAATGTACCTTCATCTCAGAGTTGGTGTTCACTCTGGCACTCGAACTCAGTACCGTTCGCTTCAAACGCTATCGCGTTACCCACTTAGCTACTGAGTACTGATTCCACCGGATTCTACTGCTAGGCATTATCCATATTTGCTTATAGTGCTTGTGAATTAAGGTAATATCGAGGCAATACACACAATATGCATATATGCCAATAAAACACTGATCAGTTGCAGTCCTAATCATCAATGGAAAAATTCAAGTAAACAATATCAAGTGGATTTGTATAAACGTTTATTGAAATTTAGAGAAACTGTCAGTGCTTTACATATTATGTGTGTTGAAATTTCAAGAGAATCACAAAGAAACCTACTTTTAAATGTACAATTTCTCAATTAGGCAAAACTGATGTCTTCAATGTAAAAAAAAACATAACAGTTACACCAGAACATTATTACATCAAGTGAAAAAATATAAAGGTTTTGCAAGATCTTTACCTAACTAACGAACAATATTTTCAAATGATTAAAATCTTATTATGTAATTACATAGTAGAGTAAAAAATATTATGAATCCAACAAATAAAAGGTATGTATATCACTACGCTGACTTGGAATTTGTGTCTTTTGTATGTAACTACTTATAATTCTAATTTAGTAGTATATTTTATATTTAAGTATTTAATTCGAACCTCAATATACAGTTTTGAATAAATCCGAATTTTCTCATTCGTTATTATGTATATTATTTCAACAGATCAATGAGATTATATACTTTTCACTTTAAAATGTCTTTTTATCTCCTTTCTTCTCTATCTTTTTTTAAAATACCAATGTCTCAATGAAAAATCATCGATTTCGTTTTGGCTATTATTATGTGTTTATTATAGAATGTAAGTTGATATTTGTGTTCTATTTCTTTTCCCTCGGTTATTTATCCAATTTTTAGTGAATGTTTGTTTATATTATACGTTAAATTGAGGTATATATTATTCTGGTTAATAAAGTAACTTATAGAACAGTTATTTTCCATACTAAAAACGTAGGTGTTTTTGATGGAGTTTTATTCTCTGAGCTGGATGGTTACAATTGACTGCACTGTCCATAATAATTCAAGCGAGTGGTTCACTTGTTCTTACACACTTATGCATAAATTTTCATTCGTGATCACTATTCGAAGCTCAAATTCATCACGGATTATCATCGATTGTGGAATGAACCATAGAGCTGTAAAACTTGGCCTTTAATAGTATAGGAAATTCATGGATCATTAGGGTTTGATTATTGTTATCTTTTCAGTATTGCTCACATATGTCAGCACCATCTAATGATCAATGCTGAGAATGTGAATGCATGATACTATGCAAAAATGGTAATTGGGTTGGTGAGTTAGTGGATTTTCATCAACTGAGGCGTGTCAGACATGCATTACGTATCCTCAACAACCTCCTACCTTAATCCAAAACTTTCTCTAACTTAAGAGTAGATGAAAAGAATGCCAGTTTGAAACAAACGAAAATATGACATCAATCCCCGAAGTCATCGACTGTTGGATTGAAAAGTTTTAGTAGATTATCGTTGCTAATTGTAGTAGATGTTAAGTAGTAGTGCTTGAAATCACTCATAAGTACATAGATGCATCCAACCTTTCTGTACTACTAGGTCTTAGGCTTTAAAGTTGTTTTCATAAAACACTACAATAGGCAGTAGGTTGGTATCTTTATTTCTAGAGTTTACAAAGTATTTATATAATACATAAACATAACCTTCGATCAGTGTGTTCTGCAATCTGAACTGTTTTCTCTACTGGCCTCTAAGTATTCAATCAACGCCGTCCTTTTGATGTACTGAAACTTTTCACTCTGTCTGATAATTGTTGCGACTTTGACGTCACTTTCCGGTTCACACTACTTACAAATATCCTTGTGAGTAGCATCCACTACATTTCTACTACTTTTACTACCTCAGACAATGGAAGATGGTCGCTCAATTTCGTGAATCGATTGAGGTTAGACAGCAACACCGTTGGATGCCAGCCGGTTCAGTGGTCTAGAGGTTACGCATTCGCGCGCGAATCCGAAGGCCATGGGTTCGAGTCCTGGCGAGCGGGATCACGGATGCGCATTGTTGAGGAATCCTACAGTAGGACGAAACGACCGTCCAGTGCTTCCAGGTTGTCAATGTTGATCGAACATTAACCGGTTCATGATCTCAATCCAGCTTATTATTATTGCTATTCATTCAAATTTCTTGATTACCGTTGATCTCAACGTTCATTTCTAGTTGATGATACACATTGTTTCATTGATCTCCTTTTATACTTATTTTTTTATTTAAAATGATTTGTAGCTTAAGTGGATGATTTAGGTGAGCTTTTATTCTCTAAGCTGGATGGTTTAAAGGTAGACAATAATAGATTAAAGCCCCCGAATGCCCTGGTACGACCGAGAGTGGGGTGAGTCCGCTCTCCCTCTCGAAATACTCTCACACGGCCGCGCGTATACAGCCTCTGCCAGGGAAGTCCTACTCATTGCATTCTCGTGGCGGGGGTGTTGTTTACGAAAATGAGAGGACGAAAAGCGAATGTCCGGCGCTTTAACCGGATCACAAACCAATGGTGCACATGGGCTCCAGTATCCTGCGGGAACAAATGGCGTATGAACCAATCTTTGGTCACCGGCTACAATGGGGTTCCATCTCTTTACGATGCTCTACTGCCTCGTGGGTTAGTCCTCTTTAGGTCAAAGGCTCGGGGAGTGGCCCCCTAAGAAAACCACCTGCTTCAGTTTTGGCACCCGGGCAGTATCACAGCCTACACACAAGTGTGGCGCATATATATTGGCGCTCTCTTGTACTAATATTCATGTGTCTAAATAAATAAATAAACTAATCATTATGGAAGCCCACAGGAAAAAAAACTGTGTGTATTCGTTATATGTGAAGGAATTCAAACATTTTACTTCCATCATAGATTTATACTGATGATGTTATTCAGAAGAATAATGAAAGATTCATGATTAAACCATTCCATTCAGAGAACACAACTTCATCTATCCAATTATTTTTACCATACGGATTTTTGGAGATTGTTAAGATTACAAATAGTTTAGATTACAGATTCTACTTAACCTTATAATTAGTAAAATTTTCCCAACTCTATGACCTTCTTTCTTATATTTTATTTATCTGGAACTCTGTTGGGATTTGTCACTTCCACTTAGTGATACGTATATATATATATATATATATATATATATATATATATATATATATATATATATATATATATATATATATATATATATATATATAAGTCTATTTAACTTCTAAGTTGCGAGTTGTATCTGTCGTCAATGTCATGAAATGCCAATGTATTATCATGTTACTCTTCTCAAATTTTTCTCTTTCTTTCTTTCTCTCTTGAAGTATAATGTCAGTTTTAATACATAATCATGTAATTGACAAGTTCATTTGTTTTATGCAATAATATAAATAACTGCTCATTTTCTCTCCCTAATAATAATCATAAACAGAAGTGGGGTTTTGTGGAGATTTTAGCAATTCAATAGTTTAATTGATGAGTCAATTAAAACTAGACCACCATTGAAAATGTGGAATCACTGGATGGTCGTTTCGTTCTATTGTTGGACTCCTCAGCAATGCGCATCCACGATCCCGCCTCACAAGATTCGAACTCAGGATATATCAGTCTCACGCGTGATCGCCTAACCTCTTGACCACCGAGCCGATTGGCATTCAACGGTGTTAATGTCTAACTTCAACTAATCGACGAAATTGCGCCATCATCCACCATTGTTTTTATTGAGTTACTATTTCACAACAGACCTGGTTGAACTCCACTGGTCACTGCTTCTCACAAGAACTTCAGGAAATACATTTTGGAAACCGTCACCAGTGAGTCCGCTCAGTGGTTAATCGCTCATGCGCGATACTGATAGGTTCTGCGTTCGAATTTTCGTGAGACATGATCGTGGATGTACACTACTGAAGAGTCTTATACTAGGACGAAACGGCCATCCAGTGCCTTCAGGTTTTCCATAGTGGTCTAGCTTCAATTAACCCATGAATTGAACTATTAACTTAATAACTCACTATCTTTTCGATTTGAAGACAGAATATCCTATAGAAGATAATGATAGATTTATTATTCACATTTTGCAGCATTACCGTTTTTTTCACTATTTATTGATTTGCCTGTGTTAATTTTTTCCTGAATTTTTTGTTTCAATAGGGACGTACACCCTTACATATCGCTGTTGTTCATTCACAGCGTGTTGTTATTCGCGCATTAGTTGATGATTTCAGTAAGTAGAATATTTTGTTTCTTTCTCAAATTCAACAAGGTAAATAAATTAGTATTTACGAAAATACTTTCAGGATGCATATGATTTTCATTACCTACTTACGTATGCCTTTTACTCCTAGTGGAGCATAAACCTCCAACCAGAAATCTCCAAACACCTCTGTCCTGGGCTCTCCTGATCTGATCTTTATCGTCTTCATCGCCATCATTAGTTTGTGCATAACACTGGATAACATTCATTGTAATCCTCTTCTTCTTTGTTTTGAAGGATGCTTTGCTAGTTGTGGATCCATGATATTTCCATCATACAGGTGCTTTACGTGCTTCTTTGGACAGGATCAGAGCAACTTCCTGTTCGTACGAAGCATCTGCTTCCTCATGATCAGAGTACGACAGCATCATTCCTGAATCTAACCGTTTCTGTCCAGCTTTGGTGCACTTTCGTGCACTGCATAGTTGTATCTCCTCATTTTCGTAGCTATTCGACTGGTCCTTCCAGTCTCACACACTGTACGGATATTCCGCTTACCTATTTTAATTATTACTCTGGTTGTTAGAAGGGGCGCTGGTCTCTTGATCTTCGGAAAATCTCGACTTCCAGCTTGAGTATTCATACATCTTCTTAATGAAGACCTTCCAACTCCGACGAAAGAGTTTAAATGGTTTTGCCTGGTTAGCGTTTCTTCTCGTCACAGTTCTTTTCTACGGCATATGTTTTATGACTCCGTGCCCAACTCTCCTCTTTGATCCGTGCTTAGGAAAGGCAGTAACACTAGAAGGGCTCTAGGCGGAGTTATATGCGATTCACAGCCGTGATTAAGCTGACATAAGAAAGAATGATAAGTTTAAAGGAAAAACATAATTGTATTATTTGAGAATGCACAAGTCATTAATTATTTCCATTGGACATTCACCATAAAGGTTTTTATGGTATAAAACAACATTTGTAAATCACTATTTTCTTTGTAGTAGTATTAGGAGGAGAGGAGGACTAGGTCTTCATTTATGATGATGAATTTTTATAACAAAGGCCAGTTTTAGTGCCGTTAGTAAAACACATCTACAACCTGGGAGAAGAAAAAAACTGAAACACGGAACAATAAAATTGATTGTGATGATAGGCCTGTTGTCTTCAATGTGTTCGGTGGTTTTATAACTTATTGATTTAAATAGATTTTTCCTAAACTAATAAACTATTCTATATACATCTTTACGATAACATGGTAAATGCTACAATTCGTATCAAATTTAAGATTATCTATGCGCATACAACCACTGCCAGGGAAGTTCTACTCACTGCCTTCTCGTGGCATTACTGTTGTTTACGAACTTCAGAGGACGAAGAGCGAGTGTTCGGCGCTTCAACCAGGTTGATGGACATGAAGACTCCATCTAGGGGAGTTGAAAAACCCTGACTCCAAACCAGTGGTGCACATGGGCTCCAGTATCCTGAAGGAACAAATGGCGTATGAACCAATCGTTGGTGACCGGCTACCATGGAACTGCATCTCCTTACGTTGCTCCACTGTTTTGTGGATCAGACCTTCATGTCGAAGGCTCTGGCTGTGGCCCCCTAATAAAACCACCTGCTTCAGTTTTGGCACCCGGGCAGTAACACAGCCCTCACACATATCAAATGCGATCTGTGTGGCGCATATGTATTTGGTGCCTCCTTGTACCAATATCTATGTGTTAAAATAAATAATAAATAAATTTCAGATAAACTAACAGATTTATTGAGTAGTACCGAACTACTGTTAAGTGTTAATTACTCTTCATTAATAGTTTCAAGCCTATACGTTTTGTTTTTTTCAACTTGATTAACAAAACAATTGTGAAATCCTAATTTGTCGCAATATTTAACTTATCTAAATAGTTCATTATTAGGATCAATATTCAATAGAATCTTATTTATTTATTTATTTGAACACATAAATATTGGTACAAAGGAGCACCGAATACACAAGCGCTACACAAGTCATTTGATTTGTGTGTGTGTGGGGGGGCTGTGATACTGCCTGGGTGCCTAGATAAAAGCAATTCTTTTTCTTAAGGGGGCACACTCGGTTCATACACCATTTGTTCCTTCAGGATCGTGGAATCCATGTTCACCATTGGTTTGAAATCAAGATTTTCTAACTCCTCTAGGTGGATCCTCCATATTCACTAATGGAATCTGGAGAGAAACTATTATATTCGATCAGATATGTTTAATAAATTTATGAGACTATTGTTCGCAAAGAAGTAGTTACTTCAATCTAAACAGGTGGTCCTCAATCTACATTTTTGTATTCCCCTATATTGACAAACTTTTAACAAGAGAAGTTTGTGAGAAGAGTTAATATTAATTGAAAAACTACATCTAATTGTAGTCAGTTGTTGTCAAATAATGACAGATTTCTAATATTGTACTGTGTAAATGTTTGCAATCGTTCTTTTTTTTCTTTAGAAGCTGATCCAACTTTGATGGATTTCTCTGGTTACTTTCCATATATGCTACTTGAAAATAATTTGAAAACTGAATACGAACGTATGTCTATTTGTTACTTATGCGTAAATTTTAAGTACTAATAATAATTACAATAATAGTTATTATTATTACTTTGAATTACTTATTTACATAAGCCTATTACCCTTCGTGGAGGAGCATAGGCCAATTACCAGTATTTTCCATTCAACTCTGTCTTGGGCAATTCTTCCCAGTTTCTATTCATCGTTTTCATGTTTGCTTCCGATTCTCGACGAAGTGTGTTCTTTGGCCTTCGTCTTTTCCCATTCCTTTCAGAATTCCAAATTAGTGCTTACCTCGTGATGCAGTTTGGTGATTTCCGTAATGTATGTCCTATACATTTCCATAGCTTTTTTGCTAATTTCCTCCTTAGCTGGAAGTTGGTTTGTGTTCCCTTCTACAGTAAGCTGTTGCTGATGGTATCCGCATCTTATATAGACATTTGTATATAAATACTTGTACCTTTTTGATGATGGTTATAATAGTTCTCTAAGTTTCAGCTCCGTACAGTAGAACTGTTTCGATGTTCTTATTGGGGATTCTGACTCTGATGTTGGTTGACAGTTGTTTTAGGTTGCATATGTTCTTCAACTGTAAGAATACTGTCCTTGCTTTGCCAATCCTTGCCTTCACGTCTATTACAAACCTATTTATCTCGTACAAAGTACTGTACTGTTTTGAATAAAACTATCTTTGTTGACAGTTAGTGAATAAGTAAATCAATTTGATTTCTTAAATCATTGTGAATGTTTAGAAGAATACAAACATATGACTTTCTCATTGAATGTTGATTGTTTCAAGCATTTAGCATTACACATTTAAAATATACTCTTAATCAGTCTGGATAAAAAATTTAGATACTAGCTAAATACTGCCATTCTAAACAATCTTGGATGCGTACGTCTTGAGTGCTGTTAGAGGTATGAGGGCGGTTCTCACTTGCTGGTTACCCACACCATAGAAGGGTTCTTCTGGAAGTACCTGAAAAGAATATTGAATTAAAGATGGTCTTAGTGATCTGAGAGTGTGAACTCAGTGACCAAGGTACAACTGGTTGAGGTCAGTCACACACGACATTTTTGTGAGTAATTTTCGTGTTAGCTCCGTACTTGTTGAGACTTTACCAGTGGAAATGGATATCCGTGGGATAAGTTTAGGTGTGGAATTTTAAGGTGGACTTATTCTAACCTCACTCCTCGTTGTTGGGAAGGCAGCATCGCTGTCATGCTGGTTGTCTGAAGGAGAGACCTTACTACTGTCACACTTCTGTACTGTCATCAGTATGACTTCTTACTCGAACCTTGGGTTTACTGCTTTTATTCTTACCATTCTTCAGGCGACCTGTGTGGCATGGTAGGATCTTGAGGAACGGTTGTTGCAGCCAGTATAGCTCGATCGGTTCATCACAATAGGGAAGTCCGAACACCATGTCAAAGTATCAACAACTGTCGGGTATCAACAATCTACTTGATTATATAATCCGATTTTTCTATTTGGTCGGTAAAATTTCAAATGCTAAATTTTCACCATAATTAATTACACTAATAGTGAACATTAGTGGTGAAGATGCATATGGAGTACATTTAGTAGGCTAGTTATTAAGGTGAAACAAATCAGATCAAAACTTGATATCGCTCCTTGTATTTCTTCATTTAATGGTGCTAGAATAACCTATGCGGGCTTTATATAGTAGCAGCCCCTATAACACAAATAAATATATCAACATAGGTAGTAGATTAACACTTGTGAAAATAAGATAAAAATCGTTGAACATTACGTAATAAGAAGTGAATGAATAATACGTTGAAATATGTAAGCTATAAAGGAAGAGATGAGAAATAAATGAAAAAAAGAAGGCGAAATACGTGAACAATCGATTATTTAGTCTGTTAAGTCGTATGAGATGAAGGAAAAGACATAGGTGTTGTTAAGTGCTTCCGAATGCTGTTAAAAATGTGAACATTATAAGATTGGTCACTCGAATCAGTTAAGCAAGAGTGACTAAATCTAAGTTATCTTGACTCGTTCCAGATCACACAGAAAGGTGCCGACTCACTCATTTAGCCGATTAAAACTGGGCATTTGCTGGGACTGATGCTTCTATCAATGGTATATGTGTTCCTATTCACTAATCATAGAAACATTTTGATATCTACTAAAGAATTTTCCTACTAATATTATGTAGTAATTTTTAGTAAATTTGCTATGAGCCTTGTAGTGAAGTTTAGGATAGTCCTTTCATCCTATTTAGGACTTGTTAGTCTGTGATGTACTAACATTCTAGTCTCTTGGACTTGAACCCAGTATCTACCTTTAGTTTCAAATATCCCACGATTTTATTCACTGAGCTAATCAATCTAGTTAGCTTATTATAACCAGTCAAGTAGATATGCATGTAAACATTGATAAATGTTATCATTACACTAATAATTCATTGTCCATTTCTTTTCTGGGTCATACATTTCATCACAACAATAAGTGACATTTATTCTGTCACTTAATCAAATTCAATAAAGATATTTATGTATATAATTGTCGAGTACATATTGGTCCTTTATTAATTAACTAAGTATTATTATTATTATTATCGTTATTATTATTATTATTATTATTATTATTATTATCACTTACTATTAGTAGTAGTAGTAGTAACAGTAGTAGTTTTGGTGCAGGGATGGAGAACACAGGTGAGGACAACCGGATCATATTTAGCACAAAATTACAGAGTTATTTGATAAAATAGATAAACCATACCACAATACATAATTTGCAAAATGTTCAGTAATTGACTCGACCTTCATTGTTCTTGCAATTCTATACTAATTGCATTCTATTCCTGCTCTTCCTTTCTTCATATTCCCCATCGTCTGCTGCCAGACATTACATTCCTGATTCGCGTCATATACTACTTATATCAATATAAGTAGCACGCATCACTGCAATAGTATCACTAGCATCAACAATATTAGTAGTATTCTTAATTTTAATTAGATTATCATTTACCCACCCCCCTCACATTCATTTCTATCTAATTCATTCATTCATTTCTAATTATCTATTGTTCAATTGAGTTCTTCCATCTGCTCATTCATAGCACGCGTGCGCACACACACAGACATGCACATTCATACTGATACATGTCAGTATCTGTGTTAACACAAATAATTGAAATGGTATATATATTTGTAAAATTAATTCTCCGTTAGATACCTTTTCTCTTAAAGTATCTGTGAATTATTGATTTGGAAAAAACATTATTATTGAGACCAGGTTATGTGTATTACTGTTATGTAGACTCAGAGCTGATGGCTTTATATGTATAGGTATGTATGTATGTCTATACATACCCTGATCGTGTCAATCTGTGTATTTATGCATAGATTGTCGATATGATTATTCCATCCCATATAATCAGTCATTCTGAATGTTATTGTCACTGTTGTTGTTGTCGTCATCGTCATTTTATTGACGTGATTCATAACTTATCTACTTATATTCACCAGATCATGAATGTGGATCGTTTCAACGTGTTGGTGTGTGTGTGTGTGTCCATGTAATTTGTTGTTTCACTGGAATTTGTTTACATTTGTTTCACTAAAAAATTTAATGAGAAATTTTGTTTGTTATTTTATATTCAACAACGTGTATATTGAATGATTCCATCTTTTTGAATCTATGATTATTTCTCTGAAAAAATGATCAATACTACTTACCTATTAATCTAGTAATCTGTATCTATAACAACATTACTCAAATCAATAATCATTAACTTAATAGACTGATGTTATATTTTTTGATTTATTCCTCTCTAGTTCTCTTCTAATCTATTCCTATATCACAGAATATTGTCTGTCGACAAAGATATTGTGTTATGTATAGGTAGAAAAAAAAAGTATCCCAACGACATCATTCGGTGAAGATCCCAAAATCGCATCTGTCGATTTGTTATTATTTTACCCAGTATTCTCCGTCTAACCTCAGTACTACTTACTCATTTGTCCCAACATATATGAACAGAACTACCAATGCAACTATGATCAAATAACAACCACCTATATATATTCTCTGTTTACTAAAAGCCTCGTTTCACAACCATAAACGGAAAAATTATGAATTACTGTGCATTATACTTGTTCTTTGGTCGGCTAATGAACGTCATCGATATTTTTCCAGAGTTATCTTCATAGTTCCCAAAGATCACCGATTATCCCACATTTTTTTCAATATAATCAATACAAGTAGCATCGATCAATGGTGACATCTGAAACCTTGCATTAAAATCTTGTCAATTAGATCAAAATCGACAGTTACTTATTGTTTATAAACTATGCTCAATACTGCACCACAAATACGATCGATGATATCAGAGTTAAATATGCACATGAATACTATAAGGGTAATGATTAATTGAGTGGAACATCGGAATTCCAACTAATTCTCCTCAATTTAAAGGCCAATCACACCTACCTCAATTAGAACAATCGATTGGTATCACTAACCAAATGCCAAGTACACGAATATGTGTAGTCGATTACTGGGCCGTAGTAGTAGTAGTAGTAGTAGTAGTAGTAGTAGTAGTAGTAGTTGCATTATATAAGAATAAATCAATCACTTCCAATTGTTCTTTATTCATTTAGGCATAATATGAATAGTTTTTATGGATTCGTTAGAAATGTCCCATCATCATGCGTCGTTTCTAAGCAATCGGTTTTAAATTGTTTCGTTTTAATGTTAACACCGTCATCTTTATGTGGTCTTTTTCACTATTTCTTTGTTGATTATGAGAATGCATTTTATTGAGAAGTGAGCAAAGCTTGCAATCGTGCACTCAAACTCAGATATACTGAATATACACACAGCATAACTGATACAACTTCTCGAGTAGAATAACAAATCGTCTTCTGTTTGAACTTTGTTTTGACTGAGTAGATAAACGGATGTGTATGGATGTGTGTGTACGTGTGTTTAGATGATTGCATCAATTCTCAAAGACAATGTAATAAATGGAAACTTTTGTTATATAGGTAGATTGATGTGCGCAGTACACACGATAGTTGTGATATTGTTTTGGTTTATCTACTCTACTTACTTGTTCTGCTTCTCTTATCACTTCCTCTATTCGTTCTGTATCGATCATTTCGAGTAAATGCTTTCTGGTTATTTTAACACTCCATCACATCCTCACATATGTTTTCTAATGACGAGATAGTTTATTGACATATGATGAGTGGAAACATGAGGAAACGAACACTCGTTTCCTCTTTTCTATCACATGTGTTAATAATAATTTCCCCACTCCTCACTGTTCCACAATCGATTTGCATCATTGTTTATCCTTACTAACTTGGCTGAATTTGAAAGTTGCTAGGTAGGAATAATTGATGGGTATAGTGAATGTTAACATTCAATGTAACAATTTTAATTTTTACCTAAGTAATCAACAAATTCCTTCTCATCTAGTCATTTATTTTTAAATTACTCTTGAATTTCAAAGCTTCTGATAACCAAATAATTACGCAAGTTAAAATAATGCAACAGAAATTTATTGTTCTGTTTGAAGATTCGTTGACTGAATTCTCCGCTTATCTTTACGGTTCTTCATCACCGTTCTGATTTTTTTCTGTAATTTTCTTTTAGTTGTACTGATTATGTAAGATTTTGGTGATTCTATGCAACCATACCAATCCAAGTAGTTGAGGAAACTGTTCAAAATTGATACTTTGGGCAATTGAAACGTTTAGTACTCTAGCCAATACTTCACATTGACCAGTGTATTTGTTTCTGCAGGTTAACCGATACTCATATTTTTATAGTTGGAGTACATTTATCGTATCACATACTAAAGTCACCAATCAGAATTTTGATTATTATTTTCTGTATTCCGTAACCTAATATTCTAGACCAGACGAATTTCACGTCTGTGTTTCCCAGTTAGCCTGAAACTAATACAACCTAAGCTTCTATTGGTCTACTATCCACGTGTTTCCCTCTTTCCTCTACTTCAATTCCAATGAAAAGTAATTAGCCCATCTCTTTTGATCTGAATTCAATCATAACTCAAAGCTAATACAATGATATCGCATAAAATCTTGACCATACATCAACATATTCCCGAAATTGCAGTAATAGTATAACCACATCACATGTAGAGAAGAACAACCTTTGAGCGACGCTAAACCGACATTTAGAGTATCCACCTAATAACTAGGACCAAATGAAGGTTATAAACCAGTGTAAGGAATTGGGATCATAATTTACAGTTGATGGATAATGTTAGAAATTAGATTTGGGGTTTTCATCACCAATTTACATCAGCTATAATGTCGAAATAATATGTAGCCAAATGGATGTATGAATTTCATGCCAAAATCCAAGAATTATTATCTTATACCTGATTGATTTCGTCCATAAATTATACATCTCGTCAACTGTGTAATAGGTTCGTATTATGTTAAAAGTAACTTAAAAAAATATAGACGAAACAGCAAAAAAATTTATTCATTAACAAAAAGCTTACAAATAGGAGAATACAATAATATCACTATTTAGCAATCAAAGAATAAGATTGTGAATACTAAATTTCACGTGGGATAGTTCCAAAAGGTCAACTTTAACAAAACTCATCTTTGTGTAATACATCATGTTTTCTTTTCTTAATGTTTCTTTTTCTAGCTTTTTTAACACATGGTCGACTTCAACGAATTCGAACTGCCTGTGAGTTTTTGTTTTCTTTTTTATCAATTTTTTTTGTTAAATATCAGATTTCTCTTATCCTTATTTTATGATGATTGATTTGTGTTACCTATTCAGTTAGTCAGTCAGTGACAACGTAAAACTTCGTACGTACGTACATCAGTTCGAGTTGCCACACCACATAATACAGAGATGCAGTTGTCGATTCAAATTCCATAGTAGTAGAGGCGGTGAGAGTATAAACAGTAATTGGAAAGATTAGGATTTGAAGATGTTATCCAAGGAGTACAATCCAGTGAAATAAATTTGGAAAGAGAAAAAAAGGGACATGAAGAAGTCAGAAGATTAGAATATGGGAGAACATAAAGACTGGATGAACCTGCACCACTGCAAACAATTTTAAGCCATTTCATCCAAAGTCTCTAACTATCTGTTGATATCGTCTCGCGGATCTAACTAGGTAGTCTACACCTGCCAACATGACTCAGTCCACTTGTCAGTGACTTCATAGATTTGTGCCATGTTTTGGTCTAGCCAACCCTAGCTTCCTTCCAACCTACTCCTACACCACAAAATATCGCATATCGGAGCAGTCGGTGGTTGGGCATACGTAACACGTGTCCCAGTCATCTTAACTGGTGAAGTTTCACTACTTCGTCATTTGGTTTGCCATCCTTACCAATATACTATTTTACTAAATATCAAGACAATTCGTTTATATACCTAAGGTCTGAGGGCGAAGTCGTATTCCTGACTGTTCAGAAGTGTGACAGCAATAAGGTGTTTCCGTCAGACAACCAGCATGACAGCGATGCTGCCTTACCACAATGAGTGGTGGGGTTAGAAAAGGTCGACCCTAAAAATGTACACCTCAATTTATCCCACGGATATCCGTCCCCGGCGGTAAGGTATCAACAAGTACGGAGCTAACACAAAAATTGCCCATAAAAAGGTCGTGTGTGACCAACCTCAAGCAGTTATACAGTCTGCTTATTAATTATTCGCTATATGGGTGATCAGACCAATGACCTCTGTAACCTTTAGCACAAATTATCGTAAAGAATTGCCGGAAACTATAGCTCCTATCGGTTAATACAGCTCTTCCTATACCCAATAATCGTTCAGAACACGAAAAGACACAGACAGATTTACTCTGTTATTGTATTGTCATTGTGACTTAAAAACTTAAAGATTTATATACATTAATTGCAAAACTAGCATGGAACATAAATAGGAAATCACAATTTTGTATATAACTAGGTCATATGTGATATGTACACAAATAATCGACGGAAGTTTAGGAACAGTATGAGTTTTGAATTTCACGAAAATCGGGGGTCAATCTAAGTAAGGAAATCGGACCTATGACTTTCGGTTTCATTTACAAACGCCACAATTGAGCCTAGATCTACTGGTGTACATGTTCAATCACTCCATGATATTACGTGACCATCTTGCCGTGTCGTGGACGTGAAATGCTAAGGTGTCCAACATTAGGACGAAATGGCCACCCAGTGCTTCCAGGTTGTCAGTAATTGTCGAACTTGGATCGATTCGTGATTTTGATTAAAAATATGTATCAACATTTAATCAGTGAAATGTAGGCTTACAACATAAAAATGCACTAAACCAAATATGTAACTAATAGACAATTGAAATATATACAATAATCTAAAAGTTGTATCTCTCAGTTATTCACTTAGATAGAGAACGTTTTAGTTCATAATTGTCAATAAGACATGTATAAAATCTTGAATGGACTGATGGTCTCCCTAATCAATGTGTACTCACATCACACAATGTCACTCTGTCATAGTTATTACCATTGAGAAGTATGTATTCCAGGTGCAAAGGATCTTCTGCAAAACTACGATTTACACACTGAAGAATTGTGGATTATTAATTATGAAGAAAGTAAAAGAAGGTTACAGCAGGATCGCCACTGGCTTCTATTCTGAGCCATATCTGATAACGTCTCTAGCCACTGTGTAGCACCATCTCTCAGATCCCAACCAGGGAGTCGTGAAGGTCCAACACAAGCCAGTCCTTTGCAGCTTTCTTTCATGCCACGACATCATGTCATGCACTGACCACCTCTCCGCTTTTTCCAACCAGTCCCAGAGTCGGCAAATAATGCACAACGTGGAATTGTCTGGGACGACATTCGTAGAACATGTCCAAGCCACCGAAGTCGGTGTTTCAAGATGGTAACACCAATTGAATTATCATCTCTGTGCCCGAACACACGATGCCGAGCCTCTACATTACTGACATGGTGTTGCCACTTACGCCTATTACTCCCAATGGAACATAGACCGCTGACCAGTATTCTCCAATCCACTCTATCCTGGGCATTACTTTCTAGTTCTATCCAATTTTTGTTCATTCTTTCCATGTCTGTCTCCATTTCTCGACGTAATATGTTCTTTGGTCTTTCTCTTTTCTTTCGACTTTGAGGATTTCATGTGAGGGTTTGCATTGTGACGCAGTTGGGTGTTTTCCTCAATGTGTATCCTATCCACTTACAGCACTTCCTGATTTCTTCCTCCACTGTGATCTGGTTTGTTCTCTCCTATAGTATGTTATTACCGATAGTATCTGTCCAACGGATCCGAAGTATTTCGCGCATCAGTGCTTGAAGTCACCAACTTCTAGTCTGAGCCATGTTGGTAGATACAAACAACTTCGTTGGGGTCCGCGTGACTATCGTAACTAATGGTTGGAAACTCTTGGTGACATAGCTCAGAATCGATCACAATGTCGTAGGTGTATACTCTCTGTCTTCCCTTAAACTAAGAGAATAAAATCGCTTCATATTTTTCTTTCTACGAACTACTTGTTTCTTCCTGTACTTTATCCTTATATGCAATCTTTCTTTTATATATTACCACCTCTGAATTAACTACTTTAATGAATCCGTTGTTCATCGTGTTGTGTTAATGAGGTATGGAAACTTGGACCGATGCATATATGTGCCTGGTCTTACGTTGTAGCTGACTGACTGATTTCGTCTTTCATGCAGTTGGTTCCCTTTATGAATTTAAATAGAGCAAGAACAAACATTGATGCAGAATAGTATGAATTCATATTATTTCGAAGTTTCTCGTCAGCTGCTTACAAACCAAAATTATGATAGAATTTTTTACATGGAGATAGTGTGAAACAATTGACATAAATGAGTGTAAATAACTGGATTACAATAATAACTATATATATATATATATATATATATATATATATATATATGCTAGAAACAAGTCAGAGGTCAAAAGAGGGGGTTAATACAGGGTGGGTGGTTTAATAATTTAGTGAAGTTCATAAATTGTGTGATAATTGTAGAGATTAATGGAATTAAATAATGATAAGGTAGATTACGTAATAATAATTAAATAGAATTTGGAAAGTTAAGATAATTTAAGAGGATCAGGTGGTGGAAATGTGTGAATAAAATTTATTTTAAGAATTAGGTAATAGGGGGGGAGTATATAATATCATAGAATAAGTAAATGAATAAAATAACAAAAACACAAAACAAACAGAAACAAAAAGATTACCAGGGTAGTGATAAGTTTATTAAAGTCTCTTTTTGGATGCATAAGTCCGATTTCAGTTTCTTAATTGCAATGGCTTCAGCAAAGCGGAGAGTGGTAGTACTTCTTTGTCTATTGATAATTTTAAACGCGCGCGGAATATCGACGATATGCCCGGTGTCAAGTAGATGCCGAGCTATTACACTGTTAAAAGCTTGAGTCCCTCGCAGCGTCAAGTTCTTTGGAATATGCTCAGAAATTCGAACCTGTACTCTTCTCTCAGTTCTTCCAATGTATGTGCTACGGCACGTACATGTGAATTGGTAAATGCAGTTGGAGCAACTGAGGGGAGAGGACTTGTCGATCTTCGTTTGTTTCAATGAGCAGTATGTTTTCCATAACGTATTCAGTTTGGCTGCCGGGTAGGCCACATTTAAAGTGGAATTAATTCTGTGATTGATAATTCCTGCCACTTCATCTCCTTTGAAGCGCAAGGATAGGAAGCAGATTTTCTTTTCAATTGTATCCTGCTTAATCGGAGGGTTTGTATTAGCGTATTTGTGGATGAATTTCTCCGGATATGCATTTTCGCGTAGGCATTTGGTGATTGGTGATTGACTGATTTTGCGTGGACAGTTGTTAATAAATACTTGTATCTTCGGGATGATGGTTTTCGTAGTTCTCCAGGTTTCCGCCCCATACAAGAGAACTCTCTTGACATATATGATGAACAAAAGCAATCAGGCTTAATAAAACGAATAATTGACAGTGTTAAAATGGTACTCAATATGTTTAAATAAATTGATCTGTCCGGAATCTGGAATAATCCATTTAGATTTAATATAATAATACTACTAGACATTACATTTACATAAAAACACATTTTGTACTAATCTTCATTATTCATCTTATGATTTATGAATAATAATTGTAGTATTACAAAAGTATGAAACAAAAATGCAGTTGTGAAAGTACTACAATCTATAATAAAGATTTTGTTACTTCAACTTCCTTGTGTTTCTTTTACATTTATCAGTGTTTCTTCTCTTTTTTTTTCATTATTTTAATGCATTGTGTGTGTGTATGTATGTATCCATGTCTCTCTCCCCCCGTTTTTGTTTTACTGAACGTCTTATCTCTTGTATAAGAGTCAAATCGAAAGGAAGTGATTCCAATTTTACGTTTCTATTTTTTTCGTATAGAGAAGCGACAACATGATGTGTTTGTGTGTTTGTTTCAAAGAGTGAAATCGAAGGTGTTGTTTTAAAAACAACAACAAAAAGTTGAAGGGTTTTTAAGAGGAAAAGTAATGACAAACATAACTAGTAATGAGTACCGAAGGAATAATTGAAAGAGAACAAACAGGATATGGTTGTGTTTTTATATTTTCTTTATAGGAAAAATCATTATATTATTGTCCCATTTGTCTGACTGTAAACCTGTCATCTACTCAATTTATTACACTTAACATATCTCATATAATTTTCCCAA